ACACAAGCTCAACCTCCTGGAAGCAGTAGTCTACGGGTCCTCCGTGGAGTGAACTCGATGTTCAAGGCATCATCCTGCTTGAACAGATTCTCGAAGTACAAGCAATACTGTGACCATGCTTTCAGTAGGAAGTTCCCACAAAGGAGCAACTTCTTCGCGATGGGGAGAGTGACAGGAAGAAAACAGGGAGGGGGAGAAAGGAAAGGAAAGAGAGCGAGAGGAGGGGATCCGACGTGGCAGGGAACCCACCCATAACGCACCGAGATCGCGGAACGATCCAAGGGCGGAACGATGAAAAACCAGGCAGCGCCAGGCGCGTTGGAGCCGGTTACGAGCACCCAGTGGTCTCCTGCGAGCAGGACCACATCCCAGAGGGGGACTACCACACACCGCGCCATCAGGGGGCTGGTCTCCCGGCATGCGGGACCTTCCCACCTCAACCAGACGAGCAACATTTATAAGGACGTTTAGTACATGCCTTCTCGTGAGCCATACGACTACCAAAAGTACGGAATTTGGTCTGCAAGAATTCGCAGGTGAGGTTAGCCACTTCTGATCCTCGACAAATTAAAAGCCTCGTGCTTTTCCCGAGCCGACTGCGTTTGGAAGGTTGCCTGACACTTCATACAAGCCTTGTTCTGGGTTGCGCTACCCCTGGAATGTGTTCCTCCTTTGATCCGGAAGTGAAACGCGATTTGCAAAGAGGGCATTTGAAGGACGACCGTTCATCCGGAGCCTCTTCAGGCCGCTGGGCGCATTCCAGACGATGTTGCAAGATGGTGTCATCAGTGGTATCAACATTTAAAAACAGGGTTTTCATGACCCGCCAAATTACGCGCGTGCGCAGGGCCGGAATATACCCGCCCTCACCTCCAGCGGTGGTCCGTTAAGATGGCTGGGGGCGGCTCTGGAACGTCACAGGGTGCAGACACGTAGGGGACATAGATGTAGGTTCATCCTTGGCTCCAAGATTCGCCAACTGGCCAGCGTACTCGTTGCCAGCAATTCCTGTGTAAGCCTTCACATGTATGAAGGAGATGTTTCGCTGAACACTGACTTTAGATAAAATGTCCCTGCACGTCAAGACGAGTTTCTCAGTAGCCTCAGGGGGGTTGGAGACGTCAAGGCTTGGCTCGCATATTGCGAGTCATAAAAATGGTTGCAGGCAAGCGGGCGTCTCCGGGAGCTTCATGTAACAACCACAAAAGCACCTCCGCCATGGCATACAGCTCCCCCACATTATTGGTGGCCTTTTCCGCGCTAGGAAGCGCTTATCCCAGCGCTGTACAGGGACCGGGCCAAATAACTCACATTCAGGCGCTGCGCTGTCAAAGTTTTGTTCCCAGATTGCAACCCCCCATCCCGCATGAGGGGCTTGTGCATGAGGACCAGAACCATCCACAAACAGCAACCAGCTTTCAACGACGACAGAGTCGAAAACTGGAAGAGATAATGATAAGATATCCGGCGACTTGTGGGTATGGCGTAGCAGGTAGCGATGTGCCTGGAAGAGAGGGGGGATGGGAGGAGAGGGAAGGACGGAAAGAAGGGGGAGGGGAGGGAAAGGCGAAGAAGGAGAAGATGATGCAGCTGAAAATCTTCTGTTGTCGAAAATCCTATATTACTCTACCTAAGGCCACGGCGGCGTGAGCCCTTGAAGGTATACTTAACGCACCATTTAGTGCACTTATACATGCTGAAACCGAACCCTCAACCCGAAACCATGCCTCAGGACCGCTCGGGGTTAGTGTAAAATTGAGACCAACATCGTTTAAGCAAGACTTTTGACTAGAAGCGAGGAGTTCCGGCAACAATATTCCAGGGATGCCGTCGGCATCGAACCATGGAATGCCGCATGGCGGGATCCATGCCCGGTGGTATGAAAGCTGTACGATTAAACTTCTCTTATCGAACTGATAGTGCCTGTACTCGTAGCAGTATGGAACAGCTAGTATGTGATGTGCACACACACACACAGAGCTTTAGAGACTACGTTGGGGCTATGCGACTGGTTCCGCACACAGAACAGTCGCGAGACAGATGGTCTCCCGGCATGGATAGTTTCCACCGATGCTGAAATTGCACAGGCTAAGTAGTTGGACGTGTTGTCTTATACTACAGATACGTTGAGCAATTCTCGGGATGAGTCGGGTCTCTCATGTTGGCTTGCACAGGGCTGTGCTTGGAAGTTATTCAACCCAGATTGCAAGAGTTGGACCCTGAAGGCAACCCTGCATTGGTGATGTAGTTGAGGTTCGGATGGCTTGAGGATTCTGAAACAATCGTTGCGTGTTCGTGAACGCTACAATCACGAACCCTGAAACCAAACCCATGCCCGGAAGTTGTCCAGTTGCCAATGTCATTTCCTCTGAGTCTCTTCGCATCAGCGAAGTCTGGGTTTTCGTGTGTTGATGCTTCGGGTTCGGGAACGTTGAGGTTTTAGGGTAATGGCGGGTCGATGCAAGACAGATCTGGCATTTCATTCACGCCACCCAAGTCTGATGACATCCGAAGCTTATCCGAACAGTTGCTTCAGTCTTCGCATCCGGCCGGACCTTTGGCTCTGAATCTCACCGGGATTGAAGATCGGAAACAGAAGGGGCAACTGCTAGAACCGTATGAACCCGAAATTCGCACTGCGAGGCAGGCGATCGGGCCTCTGCGGCCCTAGTGGCCCGGAGGCTCCTCGTCTGCGCCGTGGGCGCCACGAAGGCTGTGCTGCACAAAGCGGCGGCGCCTCCGACATGGAAGGAAGGCTGGGCAATGCTGGGCAGAACGCACGGTGAGCCCTTGAGAAACCCCCCGAAGTGTCGAGCCCAGTGCCGGCTCGAGCCTGAGGCGCCCATCGCGACAGTCACAGCGCGGCCGGTCGAAGCCATCTGCATGTCCGACCAAGATTGCGACAAGGTGTCCCGATAAGGCAGACTAAGAAAGTTGGACCCTAGCCTAGCGCACCGGCAGTGTAACAGTAACTGTTGTGGTTACGGTGGCTGTTGCCGTTACTGTTACCACTACTGTGATCATTGCTTTGAATGAACACTATAGGATCTGTGTTGGTTTCTGCGCATGCGCCAGGGTCGCGTAACAGGGTTCGGAGTTCTCTAAATGGCGGTCTAGGGATCGGGTACTGGAGTTTTGGCAATGTCTTTCTGGTTCGCAGATGTTCGCAGTACCGCAGCCCGTGGCCCTTCAATACAAAGTTCAGAGCTTATTTCCGGAAGCGTAAACCGACAACACTCTCGACTCCGAAACTCCAAAGGCTGGCACCAAACCCTGAACGCTCCAGTCATTCAGCCTTTCGGCCCAACCCCAAACTAGACGGGAAGCCAACGACACACCAGCGAAGTCTCGGCCACCGGGCGGAAGCAAATGCAGGCAGTGAGGAAAAGATAGGCAAAGTTTCTCACGGGATGTCCCAGGCCTCTGCAGGCACAGCGGCAAGGGTGTACGGATGTGTAGGGGCTGAAAGTCTCTTGAAAAAGGATCCGTGGAGATGGGGGCTTCAGGCTTGAGATTGCCACATTTGCATTTTCCGCTGCCATCGTGGCTGCCAGACAAGGCACCTTCAGCCTAAAACACAAGGGTCGGCCATGCAGTGGCATGCAGCCGCAACACCACAACCTACACCATGCGCTAGATTGTTGGGCATGGTGCCGTACAGTAGGCTCTGCTCTCGTGTCGGCGAACGACATCGAGATCTCATGGTGGAGACTGCGCAGACAAAACAATCTGAAGCATCTGGGTGCCCGCACCCGAGGTCTTTGCCTTCTGCACTGCTTCCCGGCTTGAGCATAAAGGCAACGCAGACAAAACGTTTCAATGTCGTCTGACAGCAACCTATGTTGCTGTGGTGGGGTTTGGGGCAAAGATGTCACTGCATTATATCTTGCTGGCATCTTATTCTGGTGGGGCTGCTTTTCCTGAGGCTTAAAGCTGTTTGGATTGCGGCGAAGTGTAGGGGATGTTTTGATCGGCGTGGTCAGAGATGCATGTCAATGTGCAAAGGCTCGGATCGACGACGCGATTCTCCTCTTCTATGTCTTGACACAGCGTTCTTGTTTGGATGCTTGACACAGTAGCTACTCCGATCAAAGACTTCCAGAAGCTAAGGCTAAAGCTCTATCTTTTGCCACGGCTGAGCGCCAGCATCCAGTCGTGCAGCGAGGTGGGAGCTTCCACACCTCGGTTGCAGATTTCATTCTGAGTGTATTTCGAGGGCATCGGGCTCGTCATAGGACTCATAGAACAGATGCTTCAGGGCTCTGGGTCTCAGAGCAAAGCGTCTGATTTGCCGCTGAAAGTGCTTCATGCTGGTTTCTGGCTTCATCTTCCTCCTCGAAGGCTTGTGGCTTCAAATGGGCTCTAGAGAAAGCCCCATGGCTCCAAGCTGTTGCAGCACCATCCAGCAGCCGGCCAACTTCTGTTGAGGGCTTTTGGCGGCTGAGGCCCCCGACCCCGGAGATCATGTACATGCACGGCAGTGTTGATAAAATCCTCGTCATGCGAGTTGCAGGTGTTTCAGGATGGCGCCAAGAGCTACACTGCGGCCTGCTGGGAGGGGGTTGCACTCTTGCGCTGGGAATGTACACGGGGTAAAACATACAAGTAGCGATGTTGTTAGTTCCGAGGCTTCTGCATTCACCGAGCATGTGATCTACGGTTCAGGGAGGACACCCAAAACCCGCCGTGCACGTGCCTGTTAAAATCCCGGACAGCGCTGGCCGGGTGATCCTGCGACGGCAGATGTGACATGATCGTGCAACAGCTTCACATAGTGTTTGCCTTTGCAGCCTGGGAAGTCCCGCCAAAGACAAACTAGGCCTAGCTCGTGAAGATATGTTGCCAAGGAATGCGCACTTCCCAAACGAAGCCAGGAACCAGATACGCTTCATTCTTTGAAGATGTCGCACTTATTATGTACCCGTGGCTCCAGCCCGTAATGCCTACACCAACACTCCAGTGCTGCTTGCTTGGGAACATATGCTCCAGCCTGAAAAGATCTAGCGCAACGGCGAAGCAGTGTAGTTGGCCCAGTCACCCCAGGCACTTCCGGTGAGACCATCCTGTCACCGGGAATTCGAAACCAAAGCGTATGAAGGAAACCCACGCGCAAGATCTCACAAGGTAATCAGAATATCCACGAACCAGCTCCCACACAAGCAAACATTAACACACTGCGACAAGCTCATACATCGCATGATCTATATGTTGATCCCGCACCTGAAAGAACATGCCGATGATGGCCATCATCGCAAGCCTTCCGTTGGCCAACTCTGCCGACAACTTTTTGGTCTTCTCAGCTGGGTCGCTGGAGGTCAAGACCTTGAAGCCGAAGTCGCCCGCTGCAGCCGGGGTGCCGGGAGACTGGTCCTGGGAAACCTCGCAGAAGGCCATGTAGGCGAGGATCTGTCCCCATCCCGCGGCAGGCACCTTGGAGATCGCAGCCAATCCGTTTGGAACATCGGCGAATTTCAGGCCAGCAGATGGTGACAAGTAGCCAGGGAACTTGCCAGTGATCCTTACTCGGATGACGCGACTAAACTGCAACACATGTAGGAGCAAACTCTGACAACATCAACGATTTGTTCAAGCATCCACCTACACCAACACCACGCATGCTATCGAAAAAACATCGTTTGCAACATAGTCGCTCTGGGGTGATGTATCCCATTGTCGCAAGCATGGAGATGCGTCCGTGCTTCAATTCGGTCTGGCGGCGGCGCTTGAAGTTCTCCACGCTACCATCGGCGGTGAAGCCTGCTGGATCCCAGAAACCCACTGGGTCCTGCACTCCGAGCTCGTTCTCGAACGCGCGCAAAGGCGAGGCGGTGTAGTTGGCCCAGTCACCCCAGGCGCTTCCGGTGAGACCATCCTGTCATGGATCTGCAAAACCAAAACATGTCAACGAAACGCACTTCCAAGCCGAAACATATTTATTCTATATAAGCACACTCTGCACACCCACGCCCACAAACATCTCACAAACATTGACACACTTGGACAGGATGATACATCCCGTGATTTCTGCAAGTATGTTGATCCCGCACCTGAAAGAACATGCCGATGATGGCCATCATCGCAAGCCTTCCGTTGGCCAACTCTGCCGACAACTTTTTGGTCTTCTCAGCTGGGTCGCTGGAGGTCAAGACCTTGAAGCCGAAGTCGCCCGCTGCAGCCGGGGTGCCGGGAGACTGGTCCTGGGAAACCTCGCAGAAGGCCATGTAGGCGAGGATCTGTCCCCATCCTGCGGCAGGCACCTTGGAGATCGCAGCCAATCCGTTTGGAACATCGGCGAATTTCAGGCCAGCAGATGGTGACAAGTAGCCAGGGAACTTGCCAGTGATCCTTACTCGGATGACGCGACTAAACTGCAACACATGTAGGAGCAAACTCTGACAACATCAACGATTTGTTCAAGCATCCACCTACACCAACACCACGCATGCTATCGAAAAAACATCGTTTGCAACATAGTCGCTCTGGGGTGATGTATCCCATTGTCGCAAGCATGGAGATGCGTCCGTGCTTCAATTCGGTCTGGCGGCGGCGCTTGAAGTTCTCCACGCTACCATCGGCGGTGAAGCCTGCTGGATCCCAGAAACCCACTGGGTCCTGCACACCGAGCTCGTTCTCGAACGCGCGCAAAGGCGAGGCGGTGTAGTTGGCCCAGTCACCCCAGGCGCTTCCGGTGAGACCATCCTACGCGCGAGAAAACGTGAAATCTCTGTAGCAAGCACTATCGAGTCCAAGCGTCAGTTACACAGTGCGAAAAAATAGTTGAAGGAGTTATGCGCTCTATGCCTGGAAGAACATACCGATGATCGCCATCATCGCGAGACGGCCGTTTGCAAGCTCGGCAGACAGTTTTTTTGTCTTCTCAGCAGGATCTGATGAGGTCAGCACCTTGAACCCGTAGTCTCCCGGGGTGCCGCTCTTGTAGTCATCGAAGCCACCGCTGAACTCCACGAAGCCAAAGTACGCGGCAATCTGCGCCCAGCCTGCAACCGGCACTTTGGAGACAGCCGCAAGGCCGTTCGGGATGTCTGCAAACTTCAAGCCCGCGGACGGCGACAAGAAGCCAGGCCTGATTCTGGCAGCCCGACAAAAGCAACATAGAAACGTAGAAACGATGGGATCCCCAAACCTGGCTAGTTTGGTCCTCAAGCAGCAACCTGTCGCAGAAGCCCTCCTCTCGCATATACACTGCAAAACCCCACGGTCCGTCCCCCTAAGATCCGGGCAACTTGCCGGTGACTTCCGGGGTGATGTAGCCTCGAACTTAAACTTCGCTGAAGCAAGACTGTCAAGGACGTGGAGCAACGGCCTAGACGTGGTCTGTACCAAGATGATCCGCTTCAGCCGGATGAACTATGTCCAGAAAGCGCAACGCTTCGAACTCATGGAAATCCCCTGTCCTCATGCAACAACTTAAGACTTAAGAGCACCTTCCTCTTCTCACGTGTCTCGCGACCGGCACGCTCAAACACCTTTAGCCAGCTGCTTGACCTTTCGACCGGCTCCAACCGAAGTCTCACAGGCCACGGTACCCATCGCGGCCATCATCGAGATTCGCCCATGCTTCCTCATGAGATCCACTTACCCTCTCAAACTCATGAGGACACGCGTGCTCAAACGGTCGGTCCCGACGAGGCCTAAAGTCCTACCCCGTGGATCAAACTAAAAGCCATAAAGCACCATGCACCCGCGCACTTCTCCTGAACCAGCAATTCCAGATACCAAGAATCCTGACAACCATTGGGACCATCCAGCGGTGAATCCAGTCAGAACCCAAAATGTTCCTGTCACGAAGTTGCTAGATTCGAGAGCCTTCCGAGTCCAAGCATAGCCGAAGCCAGGCGGCAGCTCGACGGAGCGACGCCTCTTGAAGGATGCCACGTCTCCTGACGTAGGCAAAATGCTGGCGCACAGACGGAGTCATCGTGATGTCGGTGATACTTGGTGAAGATGATGCGAATGATGATTTTGATGCTCGTGGAAAGAACGAATGATGTTTGATGATGATGCCGATGCTGGTGGTGCTGATGGTGGTGGTGGTGCTGGCGGTGCTGCTGCTGATGATGATACTAGAAACAACCATGCCGCCAACGGTGGTGGTGGTGGTGGTGGTGGTGGTGGTGGTGGTGGTGGTGGTGGTGGTGGTGGTGGTGGTGGTGGTGGTGGTGGTGGTGGTGGTGGTGGTGGTGGTGGTGGTGGTGGTGGTGGTGGTGGTGGTGGTGGTGGTGGTGGTGGTGGTGGTGGTGGTGGTGGTGGTGGTGGTGGTGGTGGTGGTGGTGGTGCTGGCGGTGCTGGCGGTGCTGGCGGTGGTGCTGGCGGTGGTGGTGGTGGTGGTGTGGTGGGGTTTGGTGGTGGTGGTGGTGGTGGTGGTTGGTGGTGGTGGTGGTGGTGTGTGCTGGTGTGGTGGTGGTGCTGGTGCTGGTGGTGGTGGTGGTGGTGGTGGTGGTGGGGTGGTGGTGGTGGTGGGGTGGTGGTGGTGTGGTGGTGGTGGTGGTGGTGGGGGGTGTGGTTGGGTGGTGGGTGGGTGGGTGGTGGTGTGGTGGTGGGGTGCTGGGGGGGTGGGGTGGTGGTGGTGGGGTTGCGGTGCTGGTGCGGTGTGCTGGTGGTGCTGGTGCTGGTGGTGGTGCTGGTGCTTGGTGCTGGTGGTGCTGGTGTGCTGGTGCTGGGTGCTGGTGCTGGTGGTGCTGGTGCTGGTGGTGGTGGTGGTGCTGGTGGTGGGTGGTGGTGCTGCTGGTGTGGTGGGTGGTGGTGCTGCTGGTGGTGTGGTGGTGGTGCTGGTGGGTGCTGGTGCTGTGGTGTGCTGCTGGTTGGTGCTGTGTGGTGCTGGTGGTGCTGTGGTGCTGTGGTGCTGGTGCTGGTGTGGTGGTGCTGGTGCTGGGTGGTGCTGGTGGTGCTGGTGGTGCTGGTGCTGGTGGTGGTGGTGCTGGTGGTGCTGGTGTGCTGGGCTGGTGTGCTGGTGGTGCTGGTGGTGCTGGTGGTGCTGGTGCTGGTGGTGGTGGTGGGTGGTGGTGGTGGGTGGTGCTGATGGTGGCTGGTGCTGGTGCTGGGCTGGTGGTGGCTGGTGCTGGTGCTGGTGCTGTGCTGTGTGCTGGTGCTGGTGCTGGTGCTGGGTTGCTGGTGCTGGTGCTGGTGCTTGTGCTGGTGCGGTGCTGGTGCTGGTGGGTGTGCTGGGATCTGGTGGTGGTGGTGGTGGTGGTGGTGGTGGTGGGTGGTGGGGTGGTGTGTGGTGGTGGTGGGTGTGGTGCGGTGCGTGCTGGTGGGGCGGTGGTGGTGGGTGGTGGTGGTGGTGGTGGTGGTGGTGGTGGTGGGGGGGTGGGGGTGGGGTGGGGGTGGCGGTGGCGGTCGGTGCTGTGCTGGTGGTGCTGGTGCTGGTGCTGGTGCTGGTGGTGCTGGTGCTGGTGCTGGTGCTGGTGGTGCTGGGGTGCTGTGGTGGTGTGTGGTGTTGGTGCTGCTCTGCTGGTGGTGGTGCTGTTGGTGGTGGTGGGGTGGTGGTGCTGGTGGGTGGTGCTGGTGTGGTGCTGGTTCTGGTGTGGTGCTGCTGGGGTGCTGCTGGTGTGCTGGTTGGTGTGGGTGGTGGTGGGTGGGTGCTGGTGGTGCTGGTGTGCTGGTGCTGGGTGCTGTGGTGTTGATGGTGGTGATGGTGGTGATGGTGGTGATGATGGTGGTGATGGCGGTGATGGTGGTGATCGCGGTGATGGTGGTGATGGTGATGATGGTGCTGGTGCTGGTGAAGATTGTGGTGATGGTGGTGGTGATGGTGGTGATGGTGGTGGTGGTGGTGATGGTGGTGATGGTGGTGATGGTGGTGATGGTGGTGATGGTGGTGATGGTGGTGATGGTGGTGATGGTGGTGATGGTGCTGGTGCTGGTGAAGATTGTGGTGATGGTGTTGGTGGTGGTGGGCTGGTGGATGGGGGTGGTGTGGGGTGGTGGTGGTGGTGTGGGGTGCTGTGATGGTGATGGTGCTGGTGCTGGTGCTGGTGTGGTGCTGGTTGTGGTTGGTGGTGGCGGTGGTGGTGGTGGTGGTGTGGTGGTGTGGTGGTGGTGGTGGTGGTGGTGGTGGTGGTGGTGGTGGTGGTGGTGGTGGTGGTGGTGGTGGTGGTGGTGGTGGTGGTGGTGGGGGCGGCGGCGGCGACAGTGGTTGCGGTGATGGTGATGGTGAGGAGAAGTGATTTCAACGCTGATTGCACGTCTTGATGTTTGCTCTTCTCACCGTCATTCGCGAGTGCTTATACACACATTGCTACTCCCACGATCGGTTGGGTTTGGCAGCGTCAGGCCGAACCCAGGGCGTTAAACACATTCCGCTGTAGAAACAAATCTGAGATAGCAAAGCAAAACATAGATTCCGCAATCTTCTGCAGCTCAGCATCCGTCGGAGGTGAACCCGACTGGATCCCAGAAACCCACGGGATCCTGCCTCAGTCTGGGGGTGCCGAGCTTTAGGTCTATGCAGTGCACGACGAAGCCTACAGCAAATTACAGCAACCAATCTGATAAGGACTCCTTGTCTGAAGTATTCTGAACCCTAGTGTATGGAGCTGGGTGCGTTCAAATTACACCTCTCGCCAACGTCGATTCAGTAACACGGCAAAACCCAACGTCTAAAATCCCCCAATTCCTACTTCCGACTACATCCTACTAGCGTGGGTCCATAATGATCCATATGCGGATGCCAAAGAAAAACTCCATACGGAGCGAGATGAGATGCACTCCGAGCTCGCTTTCGAAGGCCTTCAGAGCGACCTGGCGCACCCCGGAGCAACAGACAGGAACCAATATTCGAGGTCTTTCGAAGCTGCGAACGAACGTGGGCATGGAGATGCCTGAAACAGTTAAGCTTTTCAGACAGCGCGCGTCAACCTTAATAGTAGACAGAGCCGGCCCTTGCCACGCAAAAGGTCCGTGCCGGGGCCGCCGCTCTCTGCTGTGGGGAGCCTTTGAAAGCAACCTTGGCTGCAAAACAGCTCGAACACGGCTTCCCTTCCTGGCCCCGTCGCAACATTCCGGCGACGGTTACGTGAGCAATTGAACCGGGCAAAACTACAAACGTTCTGTTAACTGTTTTCATGATCTGCACGCTGCAAGGATTCGTGCGTCGCAGCCTTCAGTTTCTTGAGCTGTGAACCCTATTTGCTTCTCGGAAGCGGCCCTTCAGCCAAAACTTTTGAAATTAAACGAAAGATGCTATCTCACATACTTGAGCCAGCAAAACAACAAAAACAAACAGGGAACCCACCCCGAAAACCCCCCGCTGAACCCCGAACCTGCCAGCATTGCTACGGAATATGTGTCGTGAAATTGGCAATTTATATAAGACAATCGGGTCCAGAAATGTCCGGAAATTGAAGGACGTCGACTACCAAGGACCTCCCGCAGGGCCCCGGGCGCGTTGGGACACGGCGCCGCCAAGTGCCAGGGCTGCGGACGCGGCCCCGAAGTTTACGCCCGCGGCCTTGGGGCAAAGGCCGAAAAGTAATGCAGTCGTCATAGCCAAACCTTCAAATCTCCAGAAAAACTTCATAAGCTTCGCATGACTCCCTTCCAGTGCGTTCAGGTAACGTTGATACCTAACTACTCGTCGACCCCCATAATCCCTGAGCCTTATGGCCATTTGATGCCCCATATGCTGCCGTTGTTTTCGTGACACGTCCGCAATGCAGCAAAACTTAATTTGCGAACACAAATCAAGTGAACCTCCACCATGGCTTTTCGCATGTTCGACTTGGACGATCGGATACGATCGGGTTCGTAGGGCTTGAAGGTTCTTTCGGGTCTCGGTTTGGGCACCAGCCATCGTGATTGAGATTCAACCTCGTCGGCGTCAGCTTCAAATCACAAACCCGATACCGGAACCTTCGGGGGCAAGTGAAGGCCATGTCTGCAAACCTAAGATCCCGAAAACCAACTGGGACTCGGGCACTGCTGGTGGCTTTGCCAACCGGCTGGACTGAGGCAACCTACATCCACCAGGCCATAACAGGAACTGCAATCTCAAAAGGAACCCTGATCGGAGGTTTGCTCGGTAGCCTAACCGGAACCCTGATCGGAACCCCAATCGGAACCGTAATCGACAACCTAATCGGAAGCCTGATCGGAACCTTAATCGGAGATTATGTAATCGGAACCCTGATCGGAAGTCCGATCGGAAGCCTAATCGGACCCGAATCGGAACCGTAATCGAGGGAAGCCTGATCGGCACCCTAATCAGCCCACATATGTGTGTATATATATGATTATAAGTATAAGTATAAGTATAAATATAAATATAAATATACACATACATAATTATACATATACATATACATATACATATACATATACATATGAATATAAATATAAAAATAAATATAAATATAAATATAGATATAGATATAGATATAGAAATAGATATAGATATAGATATAGCTATAGCTATAGATATAGATATAGCTATATAGCTATAGACATAGATATAGATATAGATATAGACATAGACATAGATATAGATATAGATATAGATATAGATATATAAATACCTAAATATGAATATATATATATATATATATACGCTCGCCCCCCCCCCAAGATCCACGCCATCGTGGTTTTGGGGCATGGGGCGCACGAAACACTGTAATGCTCAAAAGATTCCAAAATTCCCAACCCTGAAACCCACGAAACACTGTAGTGCTTAAAAAAAATTTCAAAAAATCCAAAATTCTGGCATCTATGGCCAGACCGGAGGCAAAGTCGTTAAACCTTTGGAATTTTTTGAGCATAGCAGTGTTTCGTGAGATTTGAGGCAATGAAAAGTTGATTTTTTTGAGCATTACAGTGTTTTGTGAGTTTTAAACCACGAAACACTGCTATGCTCAAAAAAAGTGAGCTTTGAAGCTTTGAAAAGTGGATATTTTTTGAGCATTACAGTGTTTTGTGAATTTAGACCACGAAACACTGTAATGCTCAAAAAAAACAACTTTTCCAAGCCTTGACACGCACGAAACACTGCTATGCTCCAAAACATCCAAACTTTTAAGGAATTTGCACCCGGCCTGGCCGTAGATGCCAAAATTTTGGAATTTTTGGAATTCTTTGAGCATTACAGTGTTTCGTGAGTTTCAGGGTTGGAAATTTTGGAATTTTTTGAGCATTACAGTGTTTCGTAGCCTGAACCTCACAAAACACTGTAATGCCCAAAAAATCACACTTTTCACAAACTCAAGGCTCACTTTTTTTGAGCATAGCAGTGTTTCGTGGTCTAAAACTCACAAAACACTGTAATGCTCAAAAACATCAACTTTTCACAGCCTCAAAGCTGACTTTTTTTGAGCATAGCAGTGTTTCGTGGTTTAAAACTCACAAAACACTGTAATGCTTAAAAAAATCAGTTTTTCATTGCCTCAAATCTCACGAAACACTGCTATGCTCAAAAAATTCCGGAATTTTTGGAGCATTACGGTGCTTCGTGAGTTTTAGGGTTGGGAATTTGGGAATTTTTTGAGCATTAGTGTTTTCTGATGTCCAAGACAGGATATACTGATATACTGTATCACAAGATAATTGTGTGCTTTCAACCGTTGTCAGGGACTGGAAGTACTATTTTATATTTCTTCTGGAACCTTCATTACTCTGGTTTGATAAGTATGAACAAGGCCAGCCTAGTCGTTACATCGTTTATTTCATGTATGTTTTCGGAGGTTGGTAGATCCATGGCGGCAGCGGCACTGGGTCTAGTACGTGAGTTTTCTCGAAAATGGCTTTGGCCCTTCTTCGGCGAGCTGCACCGCCGACAAATCCAACACTGTAATAATCGCAAGCCTATCTAGAACTTATTTCATTTCATATTGAAGACTGTAGGAAACTGTTTGCATTTTGCGATCATGAAAAACAATGGAGACTTCCTATACGATTTTCTACGTACGATACATGAGTTTTCATTCAGTTAATCTTATTATCTCTTATTGATGCTGTCCTATACCCCGGAGAAGAGTCGTAATTAGTCCTGCTTCATGTTTGGAAGGTTGCAAGAGCTCTCTTGCTTCTTGCTGCAGACGAGCCTTCTTGTGCGCCCGCATATGCACATGAACTTTTCAACTCCAGGCGAGCTTTCCCATTTCTTCTGAGGCAAAGAACAACTACTGGAGTATTGCTTCGAAAATAAACGTGCCCGTGCATTCGACTTCCTTCATCTACAATTAATGGACAGGACATGAAAAGAGCTCTTTGTATTTCGTAAATTTTCGTAACTCATAAATCAAATGCTAGAGCGATTAGGCCGCATCAGAATCGGACGCTTCACGAGCAGCGGGAAAGAGAAGGCCCACGCACGCAGGCGTCTTCGTAAGATAGACAATAGTAACAATATTATTAGAGGAATGTAGAAAAACATACCATAAAATGCCAAAAACGAGGCTTTTTAGTAATACATGAACAAAACTACCACGCCCTCCAGCATTTCAGCTTCTCCAACACATAACCACAAATCCGCGGCCGAGATTCGGCGCCAGATTTTTACACATATTAAACCCGCGCCTTGCAGCAGCACGGTTTGCATGCACATGAGGTAAAGCACGATTGTATCGGTATTTACGGTGTTTTCGGTATATATGAGTTGTCGACCAATGTAGAGAAACAACCTGTGGAATTGTGTGGAAGAGGCGGGTGTGGATCTTGGGGGGGAGGGGTGACCATATATATATATATATATATATATATATACATACATACATATGTACGGAGCCCTGATCTGAACCCCAATCGGAACCGGCGTCGGAACCCTGATCACCTGCTTTAAAGCTTAATTGGAACCATTCGGAACTTTAGTTGGCACCCCGATCGGCACCTGATCGGGATCCTGGTCGGAACAGGGAGCGAAAGAGCAAAGCAACGGTCGAGAAGGTGCATGTGAAAACGAGCACAAAGCGACCCCGTTGTACCAGCGTCCATCAGAAAAGCAAGCCATCCAGGAGGAGAGGAGGAACCCTGGAGCCACAAACAAACACGAACCTAACCCTGGCAATGGCACTAAGCAAACTTTCATTTCAGGCAGCACGTGCTAAGCGGTGAGCTACAACGCGAGACGGCTTATCACCGACGCGGAGCAAAAGGCTGAAAGAAAGACCTGTCCTCAAGACCCAAGCAAGTACATACTGGACCCGTGAACATGGAGTGAGCACCCTCATAACAACTAGCACAACACTGCATTGGATCATGATGCGACGCTCTCCATCCCAGCACCGCTCTTCGCCGACGTGGACGAAGGAAAACATGGCAAAACCAAAAGATGGGAATCAAGAGCATCACTGCGCCCTCCGCTTGTCGCGGCTACGGCCCCTCTCCCCACCGCCACCGCGCCGGCCCCCGTCACGCCCCGATCCCCGACCCTTGCCCCCCTTGCCGCCGCCCTTAGTGGAAGACAACCCAAAAGCACCCTCCGCCCTGGCACGCTTGCACTTCATTTCCCCTTGGCTGAGCGGTGCCCAGATTTGGGGCGCGGTGGTATCAATGGGGCAGGCCTCTTTGAGCTTCGGGGCAATCGTGGTCTTCATCAACTGGTTGATGCTGCAATCCACATCTCATTCTGGCGTCTCAACCCATTTACCCCCAATGGGGTAGACGCCCGAGATGCCATCCTTGTGCATGCCGACATCCTACTTCGTCTTCACACCTCTGAGAGTTTCATCGGGCAGAACGCGAGCCAGATGGGGGGAGATGGTGTCCCAGATCAGTTGGCCCACACACTCGTTAAGCGCCCAGAACTCCCGGCTGCCTGTGTCGATCTCACTGGCTCTCGCGATAATAGAAGGGACGCCCTTGGCCCTGACACGGGTGAGGGTGTCCCATTCTCCCAAACGGTTCTTCAAGACCTCCAACCGAGCATTGACGTTATCCGCGGCCGGCATGACAGGAGTGGGGAGATGCGTACGTGAAGCGAGGATAGCTGGGGCACATGGCATCCACTCCGGTCGACGGATCAAGATATCCGGAGACCTGCGGGGCCTAGCAGGTAGCGATGTGCCTGGAAGAGGGGATGGGAGTCGAGGAGATAAGAGGGGAGGACGGAAAGAAGGGGGAGGGGAGGGAAAGGCGAAAAAGGAGAAGACGGAAGGGGAAGGGAGGGAGAGGGCGTGAGCCCTTGAAGGTATACTTAACGCACCATTTAGTGCACCTATACATACTGAAACCGAACCCTCAACCCGAAACCATGCCTCAGGACCCTCACACCTTTAACTTTTTGAAGTCGGCTCGGGGTTAGTGTAAAATTGAGATCAACATCGTTTTAGCAAGACGTTTGACTAGAAGTGAGGAGTTCCGGCAACAATATTCAAGGGATGCCGTCGGCATCGAACCATGGAATGCCGCATGGCGGGCTCCATGCCCGGTGGTATGAAAGCTGTACGATTAAACTTCTCTTATCGAACTGATAGTGCCTGTACTCGTAGCAGTATGGAACAGCTAGTATGTGATGTGCACACACACACACAGAGCTTTAGAGACTACGATGGGGCTGTGCGAATGGTTCAGCACACGGAACAGGCGCGAGACAGATGGTCCCCCGGCATGGATAGTTTTCCGCCGATGCATACATTACACAGCCTAAGCAGTTGGATGTGTTGTCCTATATTACAGATACGTTGAGCAATTCTCGGGATGAGTCGGGCTCTCATGTTGGCTTGCGCAGGGCCATGCTTGGAAGAAATCTAGCCCAGATGGGAAAGATCTGAACCCTGAACGCAACCCTGCATTGGCGATGTAGTCGAGGTTCGGATGGTTTGAAGGTTCTGAAACAATTGTTAATCATGAACCCTTAAATCTAATCATCCTAATCCCTAAACCTCTCTGCCAGGAAGTTGTCCATTTGTAAATTTCCTCGGAGTCTGTTCGCGCCACCAGAGGCAGGGCTTCCGTGTGTTGATGCTTCGGGAGCGTTGAGGATTCAGGGTGTGTAGGGCGGGTCGATGCAAGACAGGTCTGGTGTTAGATTCACATCAGCGTTTCAGGACACACGCAAAAGCTGCACTCTCAAGGCAGACTAGGTTTTCTTTCAGAAGCCCTTAAAGACATGTGCATGTCGAAGAAAACTGAAGACTGATGACATCCGAAGCTTAGCCGAACAGTTGCTTCAGGCTTCGCATCCGGCCAGACCTGTGGCTCTGGATCTCACCGGGATTGAAGATCGGAAACAGAAGGGGCAACTGCTAGAACCGTGTGAACCCGAAATTCGCACTGCGAGGCACGCGATCGGGCCTCTGCGGCCCTAGTGGCCCGGAGGCTCCTCGTCTGCGCCGTGGGCGCCACGAAGGCTGTGCTGCACAAAGCGGCGGCGCCTCCGACATGGAAGGAAGGCTGGGCAATGCTGGGCAGAACGCACGGTGAGCCCTTGAGAAACCCCCCGAAGTGTCGAGCCCAGTGCCGGCTCGAGCCTGCGGCGCCCATCGCGACAGTCACAGCGCGGCCGGTCGAAGCCATCTGCATGTCCGACCAAGATTGCGACAAGGTGTCCCGATAAGGCAGACTAAGAAAGTTGGACCCTAGCCTAGCGCACCGGCAGTGTAACAGTAACTGTTGTGGTTGCGGTGGCTGTTGCCGTTACTGTTACCACTACTGTGATCATTGCTTTGAATGAACACTATAGGATCTGTGTTGGTTTCTGCGCATGCGCCAGGGTCGCGTAACAGGGTTCGGAGTTCTCTAAATGGCAGTCTAGGGATCGGGTACTGGAGTTTTGGCAATGTCTTTCTGGTTCGCAGATGTTCGCAGTACCGCAGCCCGTGGCCCTTCAATACGAAGTTCAGAGCTTATTTCCGGAAGCGTAAACCGACAACACTCTCGACTCCGAAACTCCAAAGGCTGGCACCAAACCCTGAACGCTCCAGTCATTCAGCCTTTCGGCCCAACCCCAAACTAGACGGGAAGCCAACGACACACCAGCGAAGTCTCGGCCACCGGGCGGAAGCAAATGCAGGCAGTGAGGAAAAGATAGGCAAAGTTTCTCACGGGATGTCCCAGGCCTCTGCAGGCACAGCGGCAAGGGTGTACGGATGTGTAGGGGCTGAAAGTCTCTTGAAAAAGGATCCGTGGAGATGGGGGCTTCAGGCTTGAGATTGCCACATTTGCATTTTCCGCTGCCATCGTGGCTGCCAGACAAGGCACCTTCAGCCTAAAACACAAGGGTCGGCCATGCAGTGGCATGCAGCCGCAACACCACAACCTACACCATGCGCTAGATTGTTGGGCATGGTGCCGTACAGTAGGCTCTGCTCTCGTGTCGGCGAACGACATCGAGATCTCATGGTGGAGACTGCGCAGACAAAACAATCTGAAGCATCTGGGTGCCCGCACCCGAGGTCTTTGCCTTCTGCACTGCTTCCCGGCTTGAGCATAAAGGCAAGGCAGACAAAACGTTTCAATGTGGTCTGACAGCAACATTCATATGTTGCTGGTGTGGGGTTTGGGGCAAAGATGTCACTGCATTATATGTTGCTGGCATCTTCTAATGGGGCCCCTTTTTGTGCTTAAAGCGACGTTGTTTGGATTGCGGCGAAGTGTAGGTGATGTCTTGATCAGCGCGGCCATGGATTACAGGTGCGAAGGTTCGCATCGAACCGAAGGACAGTACTTCTAACCGATCTAATGTTTGTTCGACTCTCCTCTTGTCTTGACACGTGCTTGTTTGACCGTCTTCTTTCGGCCTCTTGGCACAGTACTCCGATCAAAGACTTCCAAAACCGAAGGCTCTGTCTTTTGCCACGGCTGAGCGCGAGCATCCAGTCGTGCAGCGAGGTGGGAGCTTCCACACCTGGGTTGCAGACTTCTTTCGGGGTGCACTTCAGTGGCATCGGGCTCAAGAGTATTAGGCCGCCTACTAGTATGTGGAGGACTCATAGAACAGATGCTTCAGGGCTCTGGGTCTCAGAGCAAAGCGTCTGTCTGGCTTCATGTTCCCCCTCGAAGGATTCTGGCTTCAGATGCTGTAGAGAAAAGCACCCGCAGCTCCAAGCCGTTGCAGACGGCAGACTTCCGTTGAGAGCTTTTGGCGGCTGAATTCGGCTGAGGCCCCCGCCCCCGCAGATCATGTACAGGCACTGCAGAATTGATAAAATCCTGCTGATGCGAGTTCCAGGTGTTTCAGGATGGCTCCAAGCAGAGGCCAAGAGCTACACTGCAGCTTGCTGGGAGGGGCTTGTACTTAGGAATGTACTGTACACGGGTTACAAGGTACAAGTAGCAATGTTGCTAGTTCCGAGGCTCTTGCACTCACTGCGTGATGTACAGCTACAGATAAAAGAAGACACGCTAGTCCCGCCATGCAGGCGCCTGTTAAAATCCCGGACAGCGCTGGCCGGGTGATCCTGCGACGGCAGATGTGACATGCTCGTACAACGGCTTTGCATAGTTTTTGCCTTGGCAGCCTTGGAAGTCCCGCCAACGACATACTCGGCCTAGCTCGCGAAGATATGTTGCCGAGGGATGCGCACTTCCCGAAATAATCCAGAAACCAGATGCGTTTCATTCTTCGAAGCTTACGTACTTATTACGTACCCGTAGCTCCAGCATATAATGCTCCAACACCCCAGCGCTGCTTGCTTGGGGACATATGCTCCAGCCTGAAAAGATTTAGCGCAGGCGAAGCACAACAAGTTTAGGCACGCAATTCGACGGAATCTGTGTCACAAAAAAAACAAAAACATGGCATGACATGTCACTGCTGCAGAGAGAGAGAGAGAGAGAGAGAGAGAGAGAGAGAGAGAGAGAGAGAGAGAGAGAGAGAGAGAGAGAGAGAGAGAGAGAGAGAGAGAGAGAGAGAGAGAGAGAGAGAGAGCGAGAGCGAGAGCGAGAGCGAGAGCGAGAGCGAGAGGGAGAGGGAGAGGGAGAGGGAGAGGGAGAGGGAGAGGGGCATGCACGAACAATGCCCAACTGAGCAAGCGCACTAGGCCTGGGTTTTCGAGCTTCAAGATCATGGCCCTGGGCATCCCTTATTGATTGTAATCAATAATGTTTCAGTCTTATTGATCCGGGCGTTTTTTCAATTGCAAATATTGATTTCATGCTTCCTGGAATCAATAGTCGAAATCAATAAATAACAACACAATAGGAAGCAACATAATCAATAACGGAATATGCAGCTGCGCTACCATCTCAAGAAAATCAAACCTGATCAAACCTGATCAAATCTGATCAAATCTGATCAAATCTGATCAAATCTGATCAGAATCTGATCAAATCTGATCAAAACCATGGTTTGATCAGGATTGATTTTTCGTGAGTTGGATCAATAGCAAAATCAATACTCTCATCAAAAAACATATCGCAAAAAATCAATAGAGCAACATCAATATACATATTGATAATATCAATAAAAACGCTGCAAATCAATATCAAAAAAGTTCCTATGCTTTCTATTGATTAGGACCAATATAGGATTCCCAGCAGCATGAAGGTGTTTGCTACGCTAAATGGAAAATGCAGCGTAGTCAGATCCATAGTTAAAAAGGTGGGGGGAGTCCCCCTCAGCGCCTGCCAGGAGAGCGGCGGCGCTCACGGGAGCGCTCGTGCTCCCTACCGCACCCTTGGAGTGGCCCTTGCCTCCACCTCCCTTCCCGCCCTGGCGGTTGCGCTTGTTTTTCATATCGTTCTGGGAAAGGGGGGCCCACACCTCGATCCCATGGGTGGCAAACGCGCTCGCAACTCCCCGCAAATGATGCCTCACGAGCTGTGACATCCGAAAAGCGGACATGGAAGGGCGGAAGCGGAGATCTACAGCCGAAAGGCACTCACGAAGCTCCGCTTTGCACTGCATCTGAACGGCCATGTCTTGGATACAGGCTAGGATGGGTTCAAGAACCTCGAAGGCCAACACATAGAGCTCGTTTTTGACGTGCCACAGAGGTTCCTTTCTGGACAGGAGTTCCTGCAAGCGATTCTCCCACGCCGACATACCAACCCATCTGGTACGGGTCACCGCGGACCAGTCGGACACAACATCCTCGAGCTTCTCAATGCGCAACATCGTCGTCGTCTCTCTGTGGGAACGGCCTGAGAAGACCGCCGGTCCAACTCCTGGCACCAAGATTTGAAAAAGTGACTGGCGCAAACAGCAGAAAAAGTGCGAACCGACTGGTAACTAGGGATCCGACCAAAAAAACGGAGGAACAGGGGAGGGGAGAAAGGAGAGGGAAGACAAGGAACAAGAGAGAGAAAAGAGCAAGGGAGACGGAGGAGAGACGAAGAGAGGAGGGAAAACAGCACAACGCTACAAAGCACCCAAGCACCCAAGCCAACATCACAAAAGCAAGACACTGACCAAACCCTGTCACAGGCACAAGGGCTGGAATGGCACTGACATGTTCAAAAACATGCACTGCCGGAAACACTGTGATACAAGACCCTTGCACCATAAAGGCTTGTTAGCATGTCACTGACAAGGAACTTGCCCTTGCATTGCAAATGCCATGTTGTTTCAGCAAAAGCGGCAGAGGTACGCGATACGGCTCTTCACCGACGCGCGAAAACAAGGATCTAAACATCAAAGCACGGCAGGAATATCATGAGCATCCTGTACACTAGCGGGCACCACGACGACGATCACGGCTGCGTCCGCGCTCTGCCCGCCCACCGCCACCACCTTTGCCATGGCCACCACCAGCACGCCCATCACCCTTTCCCTGACCACCCTTGCCCTTGCCTTTGGGAGGCCCTTGGGTCAACCTCGCGCGGTTACGCTTCCTCCGCAACTTTTCCTGGGACAGGGGGACCCACAGCTGCGTCGTTGGGTTAGGGCCTAGGGTCGCCCTGCTGGGCTTCCTTGAGGTTCGGCATGACTTCACCAGGTAGTTGACTCTGAGCGCCTGAAGCCCACACCGGACACGAATGTCGAACATGTGCGTGTCCTGCCACTTGCCTGCGATTGGGAAGATCCCCTGAAGTCCCTCCTTGTGGCACCCCAACAACCACTCGTCACGCATGGCACTCAGGGCGGGTTCCTGGACCACCGGGCTGAGGATGGGGCCAACCACATCCCAAACCAATTGGCCGACTGTGTCCTTCAGGCGCCAAAACTCACGACTGCCCTGGGCCAATTCTCTTGCCTGAGTGACAAGAGCCGGGACGCCCTTGACTCGGATACGCGTAAGGGAGTCCCACTCACCCATACGGTCTTCCAGAAACTCCAGGCGAGTATCAGCGTCCGACGGCATGGCAGGCAGGGGAAAGGGGCAAGCCTAAAGCAACTGGAGCGCAGCGGAGCCGAGGCTAGGCGTCACAAACTGGCAGGCAACAAAAGTAGGTACTTGAGTAGGCAAGGAACATGCAACAAAACTAGGAAAAGTAACGACCTCTCAATAACAAGTGACACGTGCACGTCCTGTCCAGTTGCAGAAACCATGTCCTCTGCTACCACAGTCCAATCTGCATCAAGAGCCTGCGCCAGTTCCATTCAAGCAGCGGACTAGGATAAGTCCTGACATCGTCTACGTAGTCTACTTCAGCCTGTAGTAAGCAGATTGCGCCTACCAGCCCTCTTCTGGCGACCGCAATCCGGCATCAAGTCGAACCAAAACATGACGTGATGGAAAACAGCAAAAGTAATAAAAAACAAAAACACAAAAAACAAAAAGGAAAGAGGTGGAGACGGCAAGGCAAGGAGCGACGTGAGCCAACGACCAAGCCCGACCCAGCCAAACGCAACCACACCCCGACCCCCACGGCACGAGAACAACATAGCCGCCAAGATGGGTCGGTGCGAGCACCCGGTGGTCTCCTGCGAGCAGGACCTCCGCCACGGTGGGACCCCGGTCCCTGCGAGCCGGTCCGCGCGCGCCCTCAGCCGAAAGACACAAAAACAGACGAATCATGTACGGCAGGAGCGTTCATGAGCGATACGACTCGACATTTGGCCACTGACTTTACCACACGACTTACAAGTACGATTGGCAAGCTCCGTACCCCTACAGTCCTCCTCGTGTTTAACCCTGGCCTCCAAAGTTTGAAAGGAGCATTTACACAAGTGGCACGTGCGATTCGCCTGGACCGACCCCCGGCACTGTTCCTCGTGAAAGGCCTGTTTGGCCGTGGCAAAGGACGAATGACAACGAGGACATCTCCAGGTGGTAAGAAGGGACGGCGCATCTGCCGGTCGGTTGGGACACGCCCCACGATGTTTGAAAAGGGTCTCATCAGCAACGCCCGCCGGAAGTTATAATCATCACAGAAAGGACAGGTCCGTGTGAGGGCGTCTGAACCGCGGCAAATACGCTCATGCATACTACGCATCTCCCTCGCATGGTGTGTATGCTTGCCCGGTTGCAAGACAGCATGCTTCCATTCGAATACTCGGCCACAGAGGCGCCTACACGGGATATTGGCTGGAGCAGCCGCTACGACTTTACAGTGTGCCTCATGACCTGCCAACTGATGCGCATACGACGCCCCCGAGAAAACACGTTTGCAACGCCAGCAATGGTCAACTAGAAGCGGGTCGGTTGGCGGAGGAGCACTGGCAGGAAGCAGCCAACGAGCAGACTGTGTAGTTTGCTGTCCGCGCGCCCCCTTCCCTGCAAGTTCATCAGCCTTGTCGTTTCCAATATTGCCAGAATGACCTTTAACATAAGAGAACAGAATGGGGCGCACAGTAGACACCATGGAAAAACTGCGCGTGCTGACGAAACCAGCGCCTCGTTTTCGACAGGAACGCTGTTCCCGGTGATCGCAATGAATGCATAAGTTGAGTCGTACCAGACCCTCGCCGGGAGATTTGATGGACCCGGAGCCTCCGTTTCCAACCACAATAACGCTTCAACCATGGCGCACAGTTCACCGACATTGTTGGTTGCCGCATCCGTCCCCTACCTATCATCGTGACGAGAGAGACACCGGTCCGAACAACCCCCCATCCCGCAAAAGGAGCTCCTGGACTAGGCCCCGCTCCATCCGTGCACATGTTCCAACCTTTGAAGACCTCTGGCTCAGGTAACGGGCTTGCTGAAAGCGATCGCGTTGTTCAACTCGAGTTTTGGTGACCACAGGGGCATATACCGACGCTAACAACAATCCCGGTCTCCAACCCTCCCCGGGGATACGAAGTCCGAAGCAACGTTCACCATCCTGCCAACCTTTAACACGCGTGAGGACGGATCCCCCTTTACACCACCTTGCCGCTAACCATTCATCCAGGGCAGCTGCTGTCTTGCCATAATGAACAATCAACCAGTTACGACCCTTTGTAGTTGTTTGTGACACTCCATCATAACCGAATCTCACGTCAGTTTTAGCAGAGCCGCATTCCACTGACGCTCTATCATGACAGTGAACAGTGATCTAAATTTACCATCAACGTCCTTGCCCGTTGGGGCGCCCAATCCTCTGGTATTCCATGTGCCAATCACGAGTGTACCTCGTTTACTATTCTTGGATGGACCGAAAGCCCGGAAACATGCAAGCCGACGCTTGGCCTTCGCTTTTCTTTTGCGCTTGATTTGACGTGTCAATTTTTTAGCAATATTTCTACGCTGACATCTGGAAAGAGAGTTATCCATAGTGGGGGTGACGACGTCCTTGTGCTTACGCTTCGGGACACTGCTAACACTACTCGCCAACCACGGTGTAGCGCTTGCGCCTCACGCATCACGCCATACAGTTGTTGGATAACGGCGTCTACACGGTTGTTGCTACCCTCCAAAAGAGCCTCCGTTTGTGTGCTCCAGCCAACATCATTCAGCTGTGACCAGGCATCATCAGGTTCCAGTTGGCGCCACCCCGGTTCCAGGATTAGCCACCGCACGGAAGCGACACGCCCGCCTTTTGAACTGAACCAGGTACCTAACGAAGGAAAAAGCCTCATAGCATCGACTCCACCAGAAGATTGTGTGGTGCCTCAGTGGGTACGCCCGGTGCTTTTGGAAACTCCAGCTCCGACTGTCTCACAGACGCAACCTGGATTGAAGGAGAACGAGAGAGGGGAGAGGGAGAGGGAGGGGAGAGAGATGGAGGGGGGGGAGAAGAAAAAGGAAAAAAGGCCCCAAGCTGAAAAAAAAAACCAGACAACCGCGAACTGATGTTGAGGTGGGATACGCTCTGCATCTGTGGACCAACCAGCGCAGGCACAGGAGAAGCAAAACCATGTTGGGCAGACACAGGGGGGGCCTTCGGGCCCGACAGAGTACGGGTAGAGAGCCCAGGGCCCCAACCGTCCCGTTCTGTAAGAGCACTAGCAATCACAGCAGAGGAACAATACGCATTAGCCGAAGGGCGGCGCTGCCGCGCAGAAACTACTGTGGTAGACTCTTGCTCACAACGCTGCGCACTCTCCACGGAGAGCATGGCTTGGCCCCCGCTTGTCACCACTGTGAATACATCAACATGTACTGGGGCTTTCCCCGGACTGCCAGGTCGCAGCAACCCTGATCGCACCTATCAATGAAGTTGACCTCGAGGAGGCTGGCACCGAAGTCCGGAGGAGGAACATCGAAGTCGAAGTCGGGTCGGTACGGCCTGTGAAGGACCACCCGCCGAGCTACTGCAACAAAACTTGTACGTGCGAGAGCAGCGCAGGAAGCGTGAAAGCAGGATGCACAGAAGGAGCAACGACAGGCACCAGGAAGAAAAGAACGGAGAAGGGGAGAGGGAAGGGACAACGGAGGGGGAGAGGGGACGAACCACAAAAAGAGAAGCAAGGGAAACCGACGAACAAACAAGAGACCAAAACAAGGTAAGCAGAACCAAGCGACAAACGACCGAAGGGACATAAAAGAAGGCGAACTGCGGCAGCACAGAATCCGACGAAGAACGTGCCTCAGCCCTCAATCAGCGGCAGTGAAAACTCTGAAGAATGCAGATGAAAACCGCACAGATTCCGTCGAAAACACGCGTCTAACCTGCCTTACAACGACCACCACGACAAAACGGGCATGAGAAAAGCTATAGCTCCAAGCAACAGTCGACAGAAAGAAAAACATTGAAGGAGACAGGCAAGGCAGCAAAACAGCAGAGATTCCGTCGAAAACATGTGTCTAACCTGAAAAAGACAGCGACCCGCGACTGAACCTTGAACGAGAACAGGCAAGCACGTAGCACTGGCACAGGAGCTACCAGAAAGCTTTTAAAAGCCCCGCGCGCGGGTGAGTCCAGCCTGCCTGATACTCTGAAGCAAAACGAGCATCAGGACTTACGGGGGAAAAACTAACGCGACCCGACCCTGCGAACACCTCGACGGGACTCTCGCTTAGGAGAGACCCTGGAGCTACGACCACCCTTCCCCTTACCACGGCCTTTGGCCGGGCTTAAACCGGATTCCTCCATCCTTTTGCGCTTCTTAGCCATATCGGCCTGGGATAAGGGAATCCACACTTTCATCGTAGGGTGTTCTCTCAGGAGGGGTTGCAAGCCACGCTTAACGAGTTGCGAGAACCTCAGGCCTGCAAAGAAGGCTTGAACCTAACGTCGAGAGCAGTGCTTACCCCAAGGCCCTCCTACTGGGAACACCCCGACGATCTCCTCATCGCCCCCGAGAGTCTCACGTAGCTCGGCACGGATCTGCAACTGCCTGGCGGTATCCGACATAGCAGATATGGCTGGGTCGAGGTCTTGGAGCAAAAGTTCGAAGATCTCCGTCTTGACTTTCCAAAGGCCATCCTTGCATTCGACCAGCGACATCATGCGGCTGTTCAACGTAGACATACCCTCCCATCGGCTTCGGCAAGTGGAGGAGGAACATCGTCATCGTCGTCGTCGTCGTTAGGTCTGAACGGCCAGTTCTGGCCACCCGCAGAGTTCCTGCGAAGCAAGCTGGTAACCACCCCAAACCTCAAAGAGAACAGTCGGACACACATCCGGGACAAACAAGAAGCAAGGCCAAAAAAAAAATGCGAGGAAAGAAGAGGAAGAGAAAGAGAAAGGAAAAACAGAAGGGGGAGAGGAGACAGGAAAAAGAGGGGAGCAGAAGCACCAGACGCACGCAGGTAAGAGTCGTGAGCCGCAGCTAAAACCAACAATGTTCTCCCTACTGCAGAAGGCAAAGACATTGGCAGTTGACCGCACGAACGGCAATAGAGGCAACAGTGGAAGCAAAAATAAGCACTCAAAGTATTGACATGACTGTGGTCCGTCTGCACGCCTAAAGGACACCAACGCGCCAAACTCAACACAGGATGTAAGAAATACTACCTCAAGGCTCATGGGAGAGTGCAAACAAAAATAATCAAGCAGAGTATTGCATTCATCCCTGTCTGTCAGACGACCTAAGTGGACCAACCTACAACCCACAAAGCACAAAAGAGTATGCAAATATACCTACAGACCTGTACGAGCAAGGCAAGAGTGAAATAAAAAACACGCTTTCAAAGTATTGGAGTGTCTGTCGCCTGTCTGTGGGCAAAAGGAGAGAGTAGCAACCATGACTCAGCAGAAGTGAAAGAATGACCACTTCTAAGCTCATGTTGGGACATGCAAGCAAGCCAAACATGTACAGTGGGTCTGCAAAAACGGGACAGTGCACGAAGTGTTTCGCACGCCGAGGGTCTTTCATCGCACAGTCAAAGGCATCATGAGCCCTCCCGGAAAACAATTAAAAAGAGGGGGGCGAAGGACGCAAGAAAATGGCACAAGCAGCTTGATCAGCGCCGGTCGCGTTCACGCCTCTCCCTCTTCGGGGATTTGGCGTGTCCTTCATCCCGCCCCCTGGGAACCGTGCCCCTACCCTTGCCCTTGCCTTTGCCCTTGTCGTCCTTTGTGCAAGCCAGGCCCTTCAGGCCCTTACGCTTGCGACGCCTAGTCATCTCGCCTTGGGACAACGGGACCCAGCACCGAAGGGGACCATTCAGCTGGGTCAAGAAGGGACGGAGGGTGGACCTCACAAGATCGGAAAAGCGCAGGGCAACTAGTGATGCACGAAAACGGATGTCCACCCCCGTGTTCGCCCCCCAATCGCCGCCAGTGGGGAATACCCCGATAATCTCCTCTTCGGCCGTAAGGATGCCGCGGATTTCTGAGCGCACCTGGGTTTGAAGAGCGATGTCCTGCATGGAACTCAAAGCTGCATCCAAGTCTTGGAGTACCAATTCGAACAACTCCTTCTTGACATGCCACATTCCTCCTTTGTTCTTGTAGAGTTAACACATGCGATTGTTCAACGCTGACAAGCCCTCCCAGCGGGTGCGCGTCGTGGCACTCCACTCCGAGAGTCCATCGTCAACCCGAGCGAGACGAGCCTCCAACTCAGACGACATGGCCAAACGTTGGATGGGGGAGCGCGGACAGCGGGCAATGGGCAGAAAATCTGCGTAGCAAGATGAGCATCAAGACACATCGCAACGTGCAGGACATACAAACTTGCAGAGCCCTATATGCACATGAAAGTCCTGACATGCTGCAAGCACGTCCTCCATGCCATCGTGATCTCCAGGTGAAGCATGCGCAGGTAGGTCATCAAGCTGACAAGGAGAGGCGTCCAAAGCAAGTGGACAGTACCATGCCCTTACAGCCTTACAGCATTGCAGGTTACAGCTTCACAGGCAGGCTGAAGCGATCACATGCAGGTAGAGCATGGCTACAGATCATGTCAGTACAGAAGCTACCCCGAAAGCCATACTTCGTTTGAGAGATAATGTATTCTAACGATACATTTTTGTTGGAACATAAAAAAAAACAAGGAACTAGGGAGAAAGACAAAACGGACAAGGGCCAAGACAAAGTGAAAACCCCGAAAACGGGACCGAAAGACCACGGGAACGACAACGAGCGACCCCACCACCCAGCCCCAGAGACCAACGAGTGACAAACGACGTGAGAGCAAAGCCGGCGGAAAGGGGTCGGTGACAAGCACCCAATGGTCTCCCGACAAGCAGGACCAAAGCCCAACGATGGGGACGCTCCATAACCGCACCGGACGGCATAGCGGTCTCCCGTCAAGCGCGGACCGTTCTGCCTAACCAAACACACAGTTACGACCTAGACGGACACGCCTTTTCATGTGTGATACGGCTGCCAGACGTAGTGAAGAGGTGAGCACAAAACTTGCACTGGAGATTGGCTCGTTTGGAACCACGACAAGACGACTCGTGTGCAATACGAAGATCGATAGTTTGAAATGTTTCTGAACACAAGCTGCATGTTTTATTGAGCGCTGCGCTGCCACGACAGCTGGCTTCATGAGCGGCCTTATCCCCTGTCGTAAAACGAGAGTGACAAAGACTACACTGCCAGGAGGGACTTTCCTTCGCCGCCTCCTTCGGCCTAAGCACACACTCCTTTCGATGTTTCAAAATGGTTTCATCAGTGGTGCCCTCGACATAAACCTTATCACAAAACGGGCAAGTGCGCGAGAGCACGTCATCACCCCTACAGATATACGTTCATGGGTGTTGCGGAACTCACGGGCATGATGACGCTGCTTTCGTTTGCCCGTCGAGAACTGCCACTGAAACTGTTTACCACAACCATGACGACAACTGATGAAGGGCGGGGGCACCCGGAACCTTACAATGAGCCTCATGTCCTGCCAGCGCACGAGCGTGGGAAGGACCTGTAAACACTTGACCACACCTCCGACAATGGTCTGTCAAAATGGCAGGAACTGCAGCGGGGGCGTCACACCGTTCAACATCGAGGTCGAGGTCAGGAGCGAACGGCCTGCACAGACCTCCCGCTGAGCTCCTAGCAACGCGAAAGTGACCAACTGAAACTCCGCTGCATCCAGAGACATCCGCAGGAAGTGACAAGACAGCATGCACTCACGCCTGCAGCAAGAGGAGCGGAGGGAGGAGAGAGGGAGCGGGAAAGGAGAAGGAGGAGGAAAAAGGAAGAGGAGGAGGATGAGGAGGAGGAGGAGGAGGAGGAGGAGGGAGAGAGGCCTACCATCTCAAAGATAGCTATCGCCAGAAACGGTCACTTGCAGTAGCATGCCTTTAGACAGATCGCTGCCCCCCAGACAGCCCAACCCCGATGACAGGCACTCAATTCGACGGTTCGACGGAATCTGTGTCCTAGTTAAAAAACTAACATCACAAGAACATGGCACGACATGTCACGGCATGAGAGAGAGAGAGAGAGAGAGAGAGAGAGAGAGAGAGAGAGAGAGAGATTCGCATGCACGAACAATATCCAGCTGAGCAATCGCGCAAGGCCTGGGTTATCGAGCTTCGAGATCAGCATGAAGGTGTTTGCTACGCTAAGTGGAAAATGCCGCGTAGACAGTGACAGATCCATGATTAAAAAGGTGGGGGGGTCCCCCTCAGCGTTTGCCAGGAGAGCGGCGGCGGTCACGGGCTCTCTCCCGCGGTCCCTACCGCGCCCCTCCCGCCCCCTACCGCCTTCCGCACCCTTGGAGTGGCCCTTGCCACCACCGCCCTTCCCACCCTGGCGGTTGCACTTCTTTTTCATATCGCTCTGGGAAAGGGGGGCCCGCACCTCGATCCCGTTGGTGGCAAACACGCTCGCAGCTCCCCGCAAATGATGCCCCACGAGCTGTGACATCCGAAAAGTGGACATGGAGGGGCGGTAGCGGAGGTCAACACCTGTGTGAGGTCCCCACCCCCCTCCAAGAGGAAAAATGCCCAACAGCCGAAAGGCACTCACGAAGCTCTGCACGGCACTGCATCTGCACTGCAGTGTCTTGGATGGAGGCAAGGATTGGTTCGAGATCCTCCAAGGCCAATACATAGAGCTCGGTTTTGACGTGCCACAGAGGTTCCTTTCGGGACAGGAGTTCCTGCAATCGGTTCTCCCATGCCGACATACCAACCCATCTTGTGCGGGTAACCGCGGACCAGTCGGACACAACGTCCTCGAGCTTCTCGATGCGAGCCACTAGAGCATCAGACATCGCGAGAAGACGGCGGAGGGAGGCGCGCGGGGGAGGGTGGCAAACAAAACCAAAAGGAGCTGCATGTGGACTAGCGAATACAAGGCTTCGTTCAACATCGTCGTCGTCGTTGGGTCTGCACGGCCAGTACTGGCCACCCGCAGAGTTCCTGTGAAGCAAGCTGGTAACCACCCCAAACCTCCATGAGAACATTCGGAGACACATATGCTCTTCCAAACCCTCCAGCCACCCAAAAACTGCCATCTTGGGAAGACGATCACAGTTCATCCTGGCGACATGCCCCAACCAAAGGAGAATACTTCTGTGCATTAGTGTAGTGAAGGAATTCCACTGCACCATCTGTCGCAAGGCCTCGTCCGAGTAACCATACTCACGCATGTTATACCTGTCCACACCCAAACAACGACGAATGCCCCGAGCCATGACTTGATTAGCTTTCCGCTCCTGTGCCAAACTCCACACCCTAGATTTGCCACAAGCCATCAACGTACCCTCAACGACCGCACGCATAACCCGTAGCCTTTTGGTAGTATGAAGACCCATGCCAGCTCCCCTGCCGTGACTTGTACCCAGAGACCAATACTTAGCCACCCGCTTGACTGCATAGAAACCAGCCTGTACACGTTTTTTGGTTTCCGCCCACTGGTCAGCATTGTCACAGTGAGTGGCGCCCAAGTGTTTGAGGGTCTTAGCTTCAAACTCATTCAAAACCTCCCTAATTAATCTCCCACCAGGAACCAGCATGAGCTTCTCCCGTTTGCCCCGATGTTCCTCCTGCTCCCAATCCCGCAATGTTTGCACAAACAGCCGTTCCGCCACTCGGAGCTCCTCCACCCATCCCAACAAAGCAGTATCATCGGCAAACTCCACGTCCCCAACGACATTGGACCTGACACTCCGAGAGGAATGACGTGCGCGGCCTGATCTGACCAGTTTCCCATCAACCTTGTAAGACCAGGTAATGCCAGGTGTCCCTCCAGACGACTCCGCGGCACGGGCCCGACGACCTCTAAAGGTTAGCATGATAGCGTGATGAAAAATGGAAAACAACACAGGAGATGAAGGACATCCCTCACGCAGGCCACGCTCCGTGAGCCAGGCGGTAGAGTAACCATTATGCACAAACGCCCTGAAGGAAGTGTGGTTGTGCAATGCTTTAAGCACTTTCAAAAAAGAGTCCGGAATGCCGAGACGGGAAAGCAGATGCCAGAGAGCGACTCGACAGACACGCGTATAAGCACGGACGATATCAAAACATGTCATTCCCACACACGCAGACTTGGCAGAGACCGAGACCTCCTCCAGCAGCCGACGAACAAACTGTTGCACATCATCAATACCCCTACCGGTGCGAAAACCATTTTGTTCTTCCGGCATCCATGTTTCCAGCCACTTGCTCAGACGGCTGGCAGCAATGCGGGCCACAATTTTGGCTGAAACTGAGAGCATGACCAGATTCCTATACTTGTTTTTGTCATCTCTATGTTCTTCGTCGTCTTTCGTTGGGAACGGCCTCAAGAGACCCCCGGCCTGGCTCCTCAAACAAAACAGGGATGAAAAAATCTGACGCGCACAAACAGCAAACCTGCAAGGCACACCTAAGGAAAACATAGGGACCAGAACAGAGAAGAGGAAGGGCAGCGAGGGAGAGAGGAAGAGACAAGGGAGGACGAGGGAAGAAGGGAAGAGAGGGAAGCGGGAGAGGAGAAACCCTCAGGCCATCAGAAAACTTGAACTGAACCCTGGCGCATGCACTGATCACTCACTCTTTCAACAAGCACTTGCACTGAGCAGTGAAAGCTGCGACGCGAGACGGCTATTCACCGACGTGGAGCGAAAGAGTTAAAAGAAGAGACCAGCGCACTAGACCCGAACAGGAACGAACTAGACCATGAACATGGATTGCGTACCTTCATAAAAACAGCAAGCAAGAGAACAACACCGGATCAACATGCAAGGACCCTGGGAAAACAATCGGACGATGAGAGCAGATGCATCACCGAGCGCGCCTACGGTCATGGCTACGACCCCGCTCCCTACCACCGCCCTGGCCCCTGCCGTTCCCCGAGCCACGACCCCGGCCACCGCCTTTGCCTCCACCCTTGGTGGAGGACAACCCAGCCGCCTCCGATCGAGCCCGCTTCCTCCGCATCTCCCCTTGACTGCGTGGCACCCAAAGCTGGGGTCCACTGTGATTCATGGCTCTGCTGTTTGGCCACAGCGAATGCAGATTTGCACCGGGGGCAACGCCAGGTGGTGAGAAGGGAAGGTGCATCATCAGGCCGACTTGAACACGATCCACGATGCTTGAAAATCGTTTCGTCCGTGACCCCCAGAGGAAACTGTTCTTCACAAAACGGGCAAGTCCTTGTCAACTCGTCTGAACCACGGCAAATCCTCTCGTGCATACTCCTTATTATTTCTCGCGCATGATGGGTGTGTTTACCGGGCTGGAGAACAGCGTGCTTCCACTCAAAAACTTTACCACAAAGATGTCGACACGGAATGTTGGCAGGAGCCGCAGCCTCCACCTTACAATGTGCCTCGTGACCTGCTAACTGACGCGCATACGACTCCCCCGAAAAAACTCGTTTACAACGCCAACAATGATCCACGAGCAAGGGGTCCAACGGTGGGGGTGCACAAGCGGGGAGCAGCCATCGTAGGGATTGTTTGGTTTGCTGTCCTCGCGCACCCAGACCGGCAAGTTCGTCCGCCTTGTCGTTGCCAACATTTCCCGAATGACCTTTAACATAGGAAAACTGCACTAGTCTCACAGCCGCCACTCTTGCAAAAACGGTTCGAGCGTAGCTAACTAAGTCAGAGTTTTCAACTGGCTCACCAGTTCCAGTGATGGCATTGAAGGCATAGGAGGAATCGTAGAAGATGGTAGCGGGCAAATCACTGGGGCCCGGGGCCTCGGATTCCAACCACAGGAGCGCCTCTACCATGGCACTAAGTTCTCCAACATTGTTCGTTGCCACTATCGCACCCATAAAACGCTTGTCGTGGGGGGAAAGACAGACCGGGCCGAAAAGTTCAAAACTGGGTTCGAGCGAAGCAGAAGCCTCCCAAATGGCCACTCCCCAACCTGCAAAAGGAGCTCCCGGACTGGGACCTGCTCCATCCGTGAACAAACGCCAACTGGTAAATTCAGAAGGTGGGTCTGCTGAAGGGGCCTGGAGGACAGGGTAGGATTGCATTTTGGCAAGGTCATCCAAGGTGTGTGGTTTGGCAGGGCATCTGTGCTTTGATTGATGACGACCATATACGAAAACTTGTCCACACAGGGGACATTTGGAAACGCTAACAGTGGTGAGAGCTTCATTTTGGACAGCGTGCGTCCCATCATAGTGTACTTGCAATTCCCTAGCATTGTCGGCGACGAAGGAGCAAGCAGGACACTGTAGCTCCACCGGGGCTTGGGGGGGGGGAAACCCCTGGGGGGGCGCCAGGTTTGACCATTGTAAAACGGGGTCACCGACCTTCCATCCATCAAGGATTACACACTGTTTGCTGGACAGACGAGTGCGGGGCAGAGCCTGGTTGATCAACCTAATCCAATTCTTGGTCGGTTTCTGTGCTAATCTAAACCAGTCCATAACCGAGATGTTGTATTTGGACAGCAGCCATTGTACCCAACTTGGGAAGGTGTAGCGAGCCGAGCGATGCTCTTCCAATCCCTCCATCCACCCGAAAACCGCCATCTTGGGAAGACGATCACAATTCATCCTGGCGACATGCCCCAACCAAAGTAGAATACTTCTGTGCATTAGTGTAGTGAAGGAATTCCACTGCACCATCTGTCGCAATGCCTCGTCCGAGTAACCATACTCACGCATGTTATACCGGTCCACACCCAAACAACGACGAATGCCCGGAGCCATGACTTGATTAGCTTTCCGCTCCTGTGCCAAACTCCACACCCTAGATTTGCCGCAAGCCAGCAACGTACCCTCAGCGACCGCACGCATAACACGTAGCCTTTTGGTAGTATGAAGACCCATGCCAGCTCCCCTGCCGTGACTTGTACCCAGAGACCAATACTTAGCCACCCGCTTAACAGCATAGAAACCAGCCTGTACACGTTTTTTGGTTTCTGCCCACTGGTCAGCATTGTCACAGTGAGTGGCGCCCAAGTGTTTGAGGGTCTTAGCTTCAAACTCATTCAAAACTTCCCAAATTAATCTCCCACCAGGAACCAGCATGAGCTTCTCCCGTTTACCCCGATGTTCCTCCTGCTCCCAATCCCGCAATGTTTGCACAAACAACTGTTCCGCCACTCGGAGCTCCTCCACCCATCCCAACAAGGCAGTATCATCGGCAAATTCCACGTCCCCAACGACACTGGACTTGACACCCCGAGAGGAATGACGTGCATGGCCTGATCTGACCAGTTTCCCATCAACCTTGTATGACCAGGTAATGCCAGGTGTCCCTCCAGACGACTCCGCGGCACGAGCCCGACGACCTCTAAAGGTTAGCATGATAGCATGATGAAAAATGGAAAACAACACAGGAGATGAAGGACATCCCTCACGCAGACCTCGCTCCGTGAGCCAGGCGGTAGAGTAACCATTATGCACAAACGCCCTGAAGGAAGTGTGGTTGTGCAATGCTTTAAGCACTTTCAAAAAAGAGTCCGGAATGCCGAGACGGGAAAGCAGATGCCAGAGAGCTACTCGACAGACACGCGTATAAGCACGGACAATATCAAAACATGTCATTCCCACACACGCAGACTTGGCAGAGACCGAGACCTCCTCCAGCAGCCGACGAACAAACTGTTGCACATCATCAATACCCCTACCGGTGCGAAAACCATTTTGTTCTTCCGGCATCCATGTTTCCAGCCACTTGCTCAGACGGCTGGCAGCAATGCGGGCCACAATTTTGGCTGAAACTGAGAGCATGACCAGATTCCTATACTTGTTTTTGTCATCTCTATGTTCTTCCATGCCCTCCGGCCACCCGAAAAGTGACAAGTAGCCAGGGAACTTGCCAGCTATCCTTCCTCGGATGACGCGATTAAACTGCAACACATGTAGGAGCAAACTCTGACAACATCAACGATCTCTTCAAGCATCCACCTAAACCAACACCATGCATGCTATCGAAAAAACATCGTTTGCAACATAGTCGTTTTGGGGTGATGTATCCCGTTGTCGGAGGAGGAGGAGGAGGAGGAGGAGGTGTACGTCTTCGCCCGTGTCCGAGCATGACGTCGCCAGAATATTGAAAAGCTTCGTAACTGAAAAAGGAGGCCGGCCGTCCACAAAAGAAAGAGGCCCAGCTCGCACTCGAAGAAGAACTTGCTTGGTTCAGGCAAAAGACGGGACGGAAACTGTTGACAGAGCATCCCGTAGACAAACGAATTCGCTGAAATCAGGGAGCATAAACTGTTGACAGAGCTCCCCCATGCACAGTAGGCTCAGGGCCTCGGAGGCCTCAGAGGCCCTTGGCCTTGCGGGCCAAACTGCCCTGCGGGCGCACATCCAGGCGCTCGCCGCCTCGGGCCTCAAGCAACACAGCTATGACGGGCAGCGCTGGAATCAGCACACTTGCAAGGTGCGGCCTAAACTCCAAAATCAAATGTGTCTTCTTCGAAGAGGGCCGCGCAGCGCACAGGCTGATCTCACGAGCAATGACGGACATGTCCTCGCCCTCAAGCCAAGGAGAGACTTGCTTGACAAGTGTCTTGAACTCTTTAGCATCTTGATCGGCATCCGAAATCACGGTGCGAAGCAACACACAGGCCAGAGCAGAACTGCAGGCACCCAAAGGGTGAGGGCGCCAGGGCGATGCTTCTCTTGCCAGGTGCGAACCGCACCCAACATCAGCTCAGAGAAAACACACTGAATGTCGTACTTGAACACAAGCGTGCAAGAGGCATGCAGCTGTCGCAATTGGGCATCGTGATCGAGATACCCACGGGTCAAGTCCAGGTTGCTCAAAGCAGAGACCTCGGGCCGGCCTGAGGAACGGTGCTTCGACTCAGGAGGAGGAGCACCCGCGGGCTTGTCGGACTGGTCGGACCGGCCACGCTTGTGCGCAGGGCTCTGGCACGAACCGTCAACTGCTGCAAGGAAGCTGGCCATGGCGAGGCACAGTACTGTACAGCAAGACCCGGAGACTACGGAACTAAACTAAAACACCTGAACCAAAAGGCAGCGGCAGCACACCGCGGCAGGCCATGAAAGGACTGACGGGCCAGATCCGGGGAGGGCCTCCCAGCCCGCAAGAAGCAGGGCCGGCCTTCCCAGACACAAGGCACCCTGGAAAACCATGGCAGGAACGAAAGAAACAGGGCCGGTGGGGCGACTGGCGAGCAGAAGGTGAAGTTAAGGGAGAAGAAAAAACCCCGGCCAATCGCAACCAAGCCGCAGGTGAGGGAAGGCAAGTCAGTATAGCGAGAGTGCCCAGCAGCTGTTAGACAAGACAACCCTTGGCAAAACTGTCAGCAAAGATGGAAATGTGCAGAAAAGACAGTGACGAACCAAGGTGAGTGCAAATGCGTCATTAATGTTTCTTTTTCATGTGCACGCCGAGAGCACGAGTAGACCCCCAAGTCTCCTGACACACAGGACATGGCAGCACCAGCGCACCAGATGGAGAGACAATGGCGCCACTGCCAGGGCGGCGCAGGCATTGTTCACGCTCGTGATGTCGCTGCTGAGAGCCACTCACAAACGTGAGGCCACAATTAGGAAAGGAACAAGTGAAGTTGCGCGAAGCAGCAGTGCGGGCGGCAGCGCGCAGGACCAACCGGCAGAGGAGGAGGGTCAGGCGCAGCAGGCGCAGCAGCGCACGACTGGCTGTGCAGAGTTAAGTAGCCCTTGTGGTGGTAGACTTTGCCGCAATGCTCGCAAGTCCAGGAAGAAGGCACGACAGGATCCTTGTCGTTGATGTGGTTCATGAGACCGTGAGCATTCCGAGCACGGTAAGCACATGTGGGACACTGCAGGGATCGGGACCAGCAGCAACATGAGCGGCGACGGCCCCTCGTAAGGACTTAGGAGCGGCACGCACGGGGGCACCGCGAGTGGGGGGATTAATCTTGATGGCCGAAACACAACGACGCCAGACAGCGCGGTCGCCGGCGGAACGTGCCCAGATGCGCTCGTCGACCGGCATGGCCTGGATCACAAGTCGCGCCGTGGAGGTGTAGAAGCGCTTTTGTGTGCCGGCTTCGGAAGCGGGAGGGCAAATACGATTAGGAAACGAGCCGAACAGCATGGCGAAGGGAATGCTCATGCTAGGGGTGCGTCGTGCCACGTGCCCCAGCCATCGAGCAACACGCTGAAAAAGCAAGGTGTGCAAACTCTGAACCCCAAGTCGGTCAAGCATGGCGGAAGCTGTCAATCGCTCATCGCGCTGCTGCCAAGAGATGCTTAGAACACCCCTATAACTAAACCTAATTAGCGTGGGTGAGGGACCGCCGGTGGTGGGCACGGAGCGTCCAGCTCTCGCAGCCAAACAGTAAAACACTGAGAACACAGCTGCGCAGTAGGGCAGATTTGGTTTTCAAGGTGATGTGATGACTGCGCCGAACGTGCTTGAGATATCCAAACGCAGCCCAAGCCAGGCTGATGCGACGCGCGACATCTGCATCAACTCCGAGAGAAGCGCCAGCAGCAACAAGCGAGCCCAGGTAACGAAAATGCAGAGTGCGAGGCACAGTCTGTCCACGAATGGTCAAGCATTGTGCCCCGGGCAAGGGGGCGGCATCGGCCGGCTGGCCAAAACCTGGCACTTTAAGCCATTCCGTTTTTGTCAAACTCATTTGCACGCCGAAGGCAAGAAGAACATCATCAAGCAGCCTTGCGCAGGTGACAAAGCGGTCCCAGGAGCTCTCAACCATGACGGTGTCGTCAGCATACGCCATGTCAAAGAGACGAGTGTTGTCACGGTAGGCGACACGAATGCGCGAAGGTTCGCGCAACGTACCGTCGCGGGTCGACACCCAACACACACCAGGCGGCTGTACACAGGCGCGAGCACAGCGAGAGCGCCATTCCTGCAGGACTACTGTGTAGAAGAGCAAGTACAACGTGGGGCCTTCAATGGAGCCTTGTCTAACTCCGGTGTTCATGGGCACCTCCCGACCGAGAGCGCCAGCATGCAACACGTGGGTGCTCATGCGGTGGTGAATCTTTCGGAGCATATCGACGGCATGCCCGGGCACAGCAAACTTGTTAAGGAGGAGTCCCCAAAGCTGCTCGCGATTCACACTGTCAAAAGCTTTAGCCAAGTCAACCAAAAGCAAGCAAAGGGAATCATCCACGTCAGCAGCCCCTGCAGCGGCAGGCTCAGCAGGCCTGGTGTAGTGCCAAGTTTCGAGGAGCCGGCGCAGGGAAAAGACAGCGTCCGTGACACTGCGTCCCTTGCGGAATCCAACCTCGGCCTCGGAGCACGCAGCATTGGCAACGACTGACAAGCGGTCGTTTAAAACCCGACAGACAAGCTTGGAGAGCACGTCTAAAAGCACTATACCCCTATGATTATTGAGATCAGAGAAGTCGCCCTTATTCTTGAAAAACGGTACAAGCACCGAGCGGCGCCATTTTCGAGCGCAAGGGCGACGACCGCGCCAGAACTCACAGACCAAGGAGTGCAGATGTCGGAGAGGCGCCTGGCCCGCGTCTCCTGCATCCAAAAGTGCATGAAACAACTCGGCGTGGTTGCCCGTGAGATCCGGAGCCTTTCCTCGAGCCAGTTGGCGGATTATTGAGGAAGTAAACTCGTCAAAGCCAGGGGGCTCCCACAGGTCAGCAGGCAAAGTAGCCGAAAAGCTCTGCACGGGAACAGCTTGCCAGGTCTCCGGAGCAGTCGGGTTATCAACGTTTAACACTGTTTCAAAATGATCAGCAAACTTTCGGGCCTCCGCAGCCCTGCCGGCGCAGAGGGGCCTCTTGCACATACCCTGAGTCGAGAACCACCTACCTAGGCGCTTAGCATCCCCAAAAAGAGTCCTGGCATCATGTGCGTCTGCAGCGCGTTGCAAGTTCACAGCCTGCGCATGCCACCAAGCAGACTTGAGACGCCGCACAACCGCGCGATTATGATGACGAATGTTACGTAGATGCAGAGCGGCATGGGCATCATGCGGGGAGCGGACGGTGGCCTGGTAAGCAGACTGGCGGGCCGAAGCAAGCTGTCTAAGCTCACTCTCATGCCCGGTGGGCCAGGTAGAGGTAGCAGTCTCAGCAAAACCAAGAGTCTGTTCTCCCGAAGCCCGCATATACTCAGCGAAAGAATCAAAATCACCATCGGGATTCGCCTGCAAGCTGCTAGACAGGTGAGCACAGAACCTGCGTTGCAACTCCGGGTCGAGGAGCCTTTGCGCTGCAAGTGGGCGCGGACGCACCTGAGAAGCCTGAGAAGAAGTGGAAGGGACAGCAGGGGCAGGGGCCCAGCCTCGCACAGGGCGCGCACGGAGAGCATCATGCTGCGATGATCGCTTTCAGTCTCGACATGAGGCAAGGCACGCACGTCTGTGACAAACACGGAGTCCACCTGGCGGCACAATGCAAGGTCGATCAAGCCAGGTGTATGCCAACGAGCGTGGTACCAAGAGGCAGTGTCTTGCACCGAGTGGGCGTAAAAACTGTTAAGTATACGCAAGCCAACCTCAGAAGCATGCTGAAGTAAACGACGGCCATTGCCGTTGCGGGCACCGATGCCATGCGGGCCAAGCACGGCGGCGGGAGCCTCAGCATCAACCGCTCCGCGCACGCCCACTCGACAGTTCAGGTCTCCGACAAGAAAAGTAGGCTCTCGGGCAGGAGTGTCCGACCAGAATGCACGGAGATCAGTGAAAAACTGGTCCTTAACAGAGTCATCTTGTTGCTCAGTGGGCCCATAGGCCGCGCCGATGTGCCACAAACCCTCAGGGCTATGCAAAGAGATGCGCAGCAGTCGTCCTGAATCCCAATGCCTAGCACGCGAGCCGGCTTGTCTCCACGTCCGCGCAGCTGACGGCGACAGCAGAACAGCAACTCCTCCGAGGGAGCCGTCGCCAGGGCTACCGGCGAAAACAAGTAGAAAGCCGTCGCCGACATCAGCAGAGCCACGACCTTGAAGCCTAACCTCGGAAAGTGCAAGGGCGTACATGTTGCACTGAATCATTCGGTCCTCGGCAATAACAGTTGCAGAAATATCCTCCACATAGGCCTTGGGCACAATTTTTCGCGCGAGCTTGACCAAAGTGACCGTGTTGTCACTGTTCCAACCAACATGCAATCAGACTGGCCAAAAGGATGTTGCTCAAAGGATCTCCTTGTATGATGCCATTGGATGGAGTATATGCTTCACTGAACGCCTGTCCAAGTTTGAAGTGCTTTTTGTGGGACTTGTAAAAGCTCCGCAAGCCCTGTATGACCGAAAGAGGAGCTCCTCTGTAAGTTAAGGTGTCGATGGCTAGGTTGGGAAGGATGTGATCGTAGCATTTGGAAAAGTCGTATGGTCCAGCGCTCCAGTATGCTCCAGTGATCATCTTTTTCGGCAACCTCCAACAAATAACTCACATCTTGCCCTGGACGTAATGCGTAGACTTCAGGAGGTAGTACACGGAGAATCCACGGCATGATGTGTCGACAGCGAGTGCTACTCCATAAGCGGTATAGTGCGCTTAGTACAGTTATTGGTCTCATGTCATATGCACTTTCTACCTGTCCTTGAGAGTTCAAATTTTTGGGCAACATTGCCACATATCCAACAGTCCAGCTGCGAGGCCAAGTAGCCAGTTTTTCACACATGTTCATAAGCCGTGCCAGGTACTGAAAGAGCTGCGGGCATGCGTTTCCCAGCAATCTCAAATCCTGAGGCCGCCAACCATCCAAACCCGCCGCACTGGGCTTCAAGGATAACGCCGTTTCCAGAATGTCATTTTGCTGCAGCTCGTCAAGGTCATGAGGCTCCCGCTTGAGGAAAGAGCCATAATGTTGAACAAAAGCCCAAGTCGTAGGAGGGTTCTTACGGTGTTTACCGAACATTTTGTCCCATTCTTGTATTAGTGACCGAAGTTGTCGAGATGGGTCAATGGTGAAAGCATTGCCGACCTTCATAACAATAGAAGAATAATGTTTGTGATCGCGTA